TCCTATCGGAGCTCCGGCTAATACAACGAGCAGTAGACTAACTTTAGTATCTTATCTTCGCCGAAGTGTCTAGTAAGAGCGGAGTCGTAGAACGGTAGAAGTTAGCTATAATTTCTGCTCGGACGGCCGGCTTATTTAGGACGTAAAGCCTCCCTTAGTACCGTAGTAGGTTCTTATTATCGAATATCTAGAGGTCTAGCTTACTACGGCGGATTTACCGGGTATCCTTCTACTCGTTCCTCTTATAGGCGACGAACTCGTCCCGTTGCTATAGCGAGGCTACGAGACTTCTAAAGGGTTGCCCTACGTCGCCGCTTACAGTCTAGCTCGCGAGTAGGACCCTTACTATTAAGTATAGTATACAGTATATACATTTACTAGTACTAGCGACCGGAGTTGTATTGTATAACGGCGCCGGGGGTTCGCCGGGCGTATCCGAAATTTCGGTCGTAGACTCCTCGCTACTTACTATACTAACCTTACTGTTACGGATCCGTATAGCTATTACTATAATACCTAGGTCGGCTAATTTAAGCTTGTACTAGAGGGTTAGTAGTAATTAATTGACCGTATCGTTCTCGGTCTAATAGTCCGCTCGTCTCGAGAGGCTATCTACTAGGTTAGTCTTCCCCGGCTAGTAGTATATCTTAAAGTCGAATTAGCCTAGATATACCGCCTATCGGGCTTATTGCCCGTTTAGCTTCTATACTGTCTAAATACCCCTTAGATTATTATAGTCGGTATATACCTAGAGCGGGGTATATACGTCTACAAAGAAGTATCTCTAGACCTTAAAGCTATAGACGACTACGAGGAGCTCTTAGTCGTACGTTTCGTAGTTTCGCTCCGCCGGCGATATCTTTCTTAACGTAAAGGCGATAGGGTACTACCGGTCGTTATAGAGCTACGTTAGGATCCCGTATAGGCCGTAGTCGGACGTATCGGTTTCTAGTCGTAGAGGCTTTGCCGGGTCGTAGTAGCGGAGTATAGGGGCGGAAGTAAATATCTGTTTTAACGCCTAAAACGCCGCCTCCCTAGCCTCCGTCTATTAAAATTCGCCTTTCTTTAGGAGGTTAGTTATCGGGGCTATTACCTTCGCGTACCCGGCTATAAAGCGGCGGTAGAAGTTAGCAAACCTAAGGAATAACTACAGTTCCCTTAGGTTAGTCGGCGAGAGCTACTCGGTAATAGTAGCGACCTTCTCGGGGTCGGTATATATACCCTTACGGTTTACTCGGAATCTAAGGAACGCTACCTCGCTTTGTGTAAAAGTACACTTCTTTAGGTTAACGAACAATTCCGCCTATTCTAGCCTAGCGAGTATCTAGCGAACCGCCTCCTAGTGCTTTTCGATATTATCGTAGTAGGTATAGATAAGGATATTATCTAGGTATACTACTAGGATGTTATCGAGTAGCCTAGCGAGGGCCCGGTTAACGTACGCCTAGAATATAGCTAGAGCGTTAGTTAGCCCGAAGGGTATTTCCTTATACTCGAAGTACCTATATCGCGTTCTAAAAGCGGTCTTCTATTCGTCGCCTTCGCGGATATAGATTCGGTAGTACGCGTCCTTAAGATCTAGAGAGGTAAAGTACTTAGCGCTAGTAAGGCGTATAAGGCTTTCGTCGATAAGGGGAAGCGGGTATCGGTCCTTAATAGTAATCGAATTTAAGGCGCAGTAGTCGACGTATAATCGTAAGGTCCCGTCCTTCTTTAGTACGAACAGTAGCGGAGCCCCGGCGGGGCTAGTACTATATATAATCTATCCCTACTCTAACTCCTTACGGAGGTATTCCTAGAGGACTTCTAGCTCCCGCTAGGAGAGATAGTAGAGGGATCCGAAGGGCGGTTCCTTACTATCTATTAGTTCGATAGTATAGTCGGTTGCCTTATAGGCCGGAAGGATCGCCGCGGAGTCGTTATCGAATATATAGCGATATTCTTCTAATATAGCGGGCAGGGAGACTTGTTTTGCCTTGCCTTAGTTAATCGCGTAAATCTAGAAGGTCGAGCCCTAACCTCTCCGGGGGTTCGCTAGGCGTAACTACCCTACTATATAGATAGGGGAGGAGTCTTCCCTCGATTCGCGCTTTAACCTCTTTAGGGAGACCCTTTCGAAGCTAGAGATCGTAAGTCCCTATCGCTAGGTACTAGGACCGTTCTAGATATCGATGCCTAGGGTCTTTAAGGAATATCGGCTAAGGAGGATAGATAGACTATCCTAGTCGATACTATAGGCGAGAATCTTCGTTGTTCGGGTATCCTCGCTAGAGTCGCTAAGTTTCAACTAGAACTCGTAGGCGCCGTAGTAGTAAGTTTCGTAGGTCGATAGCTATCTAAGTAACGGGAGTTAGGCCTCGATTCGGGATAGGCCTATTTCTACCGCTACCTTCTAGCTAATCGTAGTTACTTAGGCATATGTATCGAGGGCGACCTATATAGGTTTTATACCTTCGCTAGTAATAACAGTTCCTACTATTTCGACAATATCCCTAGATTTAATAGGTCGGGGCCCCGTCGCGTCCTAAGTATTCGTAACGAGCCTAATTAGTTTTTTAGCTAGATAGGGGTCTAGTTAGGATTACCGCGCTTTAACGGGTAGTCTAGGCGAATATAACCTATCTTGCCGCACTCGTAGTACTTTAGTCCTAAGTAATCCCCTTTATCTAGAGCGGCTTTCGCGGCTGCGCCCGATTTCGGGGCTTTAGCTACGTTAGTACGCGGTTCCCTAGCATCTCCCCGGCGATCTCGATCTTTAGATTTTAGCTTATTACTACTAGTCCGCCCTTTACCGCCTTAGGTCCTCGGGTAGTTCTTCTCGATCTAGGTCGCTAGGTTAACTAACTCGTCCTATGTTTTAGGGATAGAATTATAATCGACGATCCGTCGGCGGGTCTCCGGGTATAACCGGGCGAAGAACTAGTATAGCTACTGCTCTAAAGTATACCGTTCTAGCTATACCTCGAGAGTCTCTAGGTATATTAGGAACTCCCTAAGGGACTAGTTAGTATATTGTTTAGCGGACGTATAGTCTAGGTACGCCTAAAGCAATCGAGCGTTAGGATCGTCTAGAAGGTTAAGTAGGAACTGCTTAAAGTAGTCCTAGATCGTATCCTCTCGTTCGGCCTCGGTTATCCGCTACTAGTATACGTACTAGCGATCCCTTAGAGTATACCCCTTAGCGAGGTATTGTATTGCCTAGGTATACCTCTCGGCTTCCCGTTAGAAGGACCGTAGATTCTAGAGGAATACGACTTCGTATAATATTACGAAGTCGCTATATTCCTTTAAGGACCTCCTCTCGTATTCGCTAGGGGCTTTTACCGAGCGTTTAGGAGGAGAGGCAATATCGGTTTCCGTAGTATATCGCTTATAGCCGCAGCTATTCTAGAGGTCGGCTACCTCTTAAATTAGTAGTAGACGTTCCTTTTCTACCTATAGGCAGGCGATATCTTTCTAAAGGTCGCTTAGCTCCTTACGTTCGACGATAATTTCCGGCTCGGAATCGTTCGCGTCCTCTAGCTAGATACTAGCGAGAGCTTCTATAGATTCCTCCTAGTCGAGTAGTTCCTAAACTTATCCCGCTTCGATATCCGTAGAGGAAGATTATTTAGTAGAGGCCTATTCTAGTATAGAGGGGTTCCCTAGCGAGTCGCTAGGATTCTGTCTAGTAGAACGTCCTCCTACTATTGTTCGGACCTTTCCCTTATAGTTAAGGTACGAAAGTTATTATATAATAGTTCTGTAAGCGTAAGGGTATATATAATAGAGGTCCGAGGTATAAAAGATATAAACAATATACGGTTTACTATCTAAGGTATAATAACTCTGCCCTTCCTTCCTAGAGGAGGGCCTTCGCTATATATACAAGCTATTCTATTATCTACTCCTCGCTACCGGTACCGCCTCCTCTTAGATAGTAGCTAATAACCGGTTCCCTTAGGAACCCTCTTAATTCAGAACGTCTCCGATCGGTAGGGTATCCCTTCTATACCGGATCGCCGGAGGTCCGCAAGGGCTTCCCGGCCTACGTAGTACGCTCCGCCCGCCTCGCCGGGGGTTCGCTAGGGCTTCTCTGCCCTAGCGTATTATATACTCTCTAGCCTTCTCGTATCGCCGCTAAATACTATCGGAATTAAGCAATTTAATAATACGGTAGATATAGTCCCTAAGTAGGTTAGCCGATAGCGATTTAGTAAGCGAGTAGATAGCGAGCGCCTACGTACCTCCTAATTATATTTATCTCTAAACGTAGATATATATATAGGTTCCTCCTACTATATACCTCTACCTCTAACTTAGCGAGCTCGTCTACGAGTGCTATAGCGATTAACTCTTTAGTATATACTTACTCTACTACTAGTATCTGCTTCCTAAAACCTAGCTCTTTATATATACGCCGATATGTCCTTATACTGATTTTCTAGCTATTAATCGCTAGAATTGTAACTGCCTCGCTATCTGTAAGTCGTAGCTTAGTATAGGTATATACTATATATATATATAAGCTGTCGTCTTCGTCGAAGATATCGTACTATCGACGATATAAAGGTACGGCGGCTATAGTAAGGCCCTAGGCTTATAGCCGTCGTTCGAATATACGCTCTATAATAGAAATACCGAACTACTAGTATAGATTAGCGATAATCTGCCTCTGCGAGATACCTTCTTCGAGCTACGTAGCGATATAGACCTAATAGTTATTATAGTCTATAGCGCGTAGTCCTCTAGGTACGTACGTCCGAGGCATATTAGTAGGTAGCGACGGATGCAGCGGTAACGGCAAGGTAGGCGGCGAGCGTATAGCGAGTGTATATAGTAGTATATAGTAGGTAGAAGGGTAGAAGTAGTAGGAAAATGAAGCCAAAGAAAGCCGGGGGTGACGTGTGGCGGCTGGCCACTTTGGGCCTCCGTAGTACCTAGTACTTTGAGGCCTGGGGTGATGACAAGGTGCATGTATGGAAAATCCGAGGGGTTCATGAACAGCCAGCCCAGTCGTCATTTCTGCCGTTCTGAAACACCAGCTGCAGCTCTAAGAATATCCTATGTCGTTCGTCGTTCGACATAGAGAACCTGAAGTCGAGGCAGTGCACAAGAACGACAAAGACACTCCACCCCCTTTGAGGTCCTCGCCGCATCCCTCTTCCTTCAGCTCTTCTCCATAACAAATTTTGAACATGGACGCCATCAAAGACACCATGAACAAGCTGGCTTCGTCCCTCCATATCGGAGGAGGCCAGCAAGAACCCGTCGCCGAAGCACCCTCCGAGCAAGAGTTCAAGGACTTGAAAGATGCATACGAAAAGGCCGGTCAGGGACAAGTCTTCACCTTTTGGGATGAGTTGAAGCCGCAAGAGCAAGGCGAGCTATACCAGCAAGCAAAGAGCATCGACCCACAGAACATCAACAAGATCACAGAACAAACACTACACCCAGCAAAGTCAGCAAACGACGACAAGAAGGCAGAGCTGGAACCTCTGCCAGAATCAGCCACCACTTCTACAATCGACAGCAACGAAACCGATCTGAAGAAATGGTACGACTCGGGCTTGCAGCTCATCTCAGAGGGCAAAGTGGGCGTGGTGCTCATGGCAGGTGGTCAAGGTACACGACTGGGCAGCTCAGCGCCCAAGGGCTGCTATGATATCGAGCTTCCTAGCCACAAATCGCTATTCCAGTTACAGGCAGAGCGAATCTGGAAGCTACAGAATCTGGCAAGCAAGATCCACAGCAAAGAGGAGGTTACAATTCCTTGGTATATCATGACTTCGGGTCCTACCCGCAAGCCTACACAGCAATTCTTCGAGGAGAAGAAGTACTTTGGCTTGAATCGGAACAATGTCGTCTTCTTTGAGCAAGGTGTTTTGCCGTGCATCTCCATGGAAGGCAAGATTCTGCTGGAGAGCAAGACTAAGATTGCGGTGGCACCAGACGGAAATGGTGGGTTGTACAATGGGCTGATAAATGCTGGTATTGTGCGCGACATGGAGAAGCGTGGTGTAAAGCACGTTCATGCGTACTGTGTGGACAACTGCTTGGTCCGTGTGGCAGACCCGACCTTCATTGGCTTCAGCGCTGAGAAGCAGGTCTCGATTGCGACAAAGGTCGTGAGGAAGCGCAATGCCAAGGAGAGCGTTGGCCTGATCTTACAGAAGAATGGCAAGCCTGATGTTGTCGAGTACTCTGAGGTGAGGAGAACTTCTGGAGCATTACAGGTCGTGAAGTAACACCAGCTGACACTTCCCAGATTGACAACGAGACAGCTGAGGCCAAAGACTCCAAGGACAGCAACCTACTCAAGTTCCGTGCCGCCAACATCGTCAACCACTATTACAGCTTTGAGTTCCTAGACTCCATACCACAATGGTCTCACAAACTACCTCATCACATCGCCAAGAAGAAGATCCCCACTGTGGACGAGAAAGGCAACGCCGTCAAACCCGAAAAGCCCAATGGCATCAAAATGGAACAATTCGTCTTCGATTGCTTCCCGTTCCTAGAAATGAACAAATTCGCATGCATGGAAGTGAAGCGTGAGGACGAGTTCTCGCCCCTCAAGAATGCCAAGGGCACTGGTGAGGATGATCAGGATACCTCACGAAAAGACATTTTACTCCAGGGTAAGCGCTTCTTGGAGGAGGCTGGAGCTGTGGTTGTGAGCGAGAAGCAAGGCGAGGGCGTGGAAGTGTCTCCTCTCATCAGCTATAGCGGCGAGGGTCTCGAGTTCTTGAAGGGCAGAGAGATCAAGGCGCCCGCGGTCATTGAGAAAGAGGACTGAGAAGTATGTCGCGACTATTTACTGCAAGAGGTACCTTACCTAGGTATGATTGAATCGACAGAGACTGGGACACAGGTATGGAGTACAACAGAGTGTGCTGGGGGAAGCATTCGTCCGGTCCGTCGGCGGCTGGCTGCCTACATTATCTACTGATTTCTGTGACTCTGTCCCGCTTGTTCCAGATGTGTCGTCTTCCACCCCCTTTTGGATGAGACATACATGTACTGTCTCCTGTATCGTCCTCGGGTGCGATGTAGGATGTATCAAATCGAGCTAGATGCACCGCTAGCCCCACCCAGTAGTAATTCGAGTTCGGTGGTCGGCGGTGGTGTGGAGGCCGCTGAGGATATTTGGCCTGTTCACAGCCGAAGTGGGGTGTTCCTTGTCCGCCGTTCTTTGTCCGTCCTTCTCCTCAACATCATCATCATCCAGCACCAGTCTCCGCCCATCGTTGTTCTTTGCTTTTCTTCACCTGCCTACGTTTCGTGGTGTGCGGAGAGGAGAGTCGTGGAAGAAGGTGAGTGAGCGCGTCCGTGTGTGAAACCTGCTTGCACCAGGAAATGGCCCATTGTCGGCACATCATCAATCGTTCTCCTGGAGGTTGGGATGTCCCATGCGACCAGCGAGCTACCCTCACAGCAACACCCAACATCAACACTGGGTTGCGAACATTGGCTGATCAACAGACAGACAGACAGCAGCAGCAGTAGCGGCAGCAGCACCAGCAGGTTCTTGGTATCCCCAGGTACGCGCCCCCACCACTGAAAGCAAGCCGACACCACCGTCCTTCGTCGCAGTGAAAACTTTTTGGAATCGCACGCGCCACGAGAGTTATCACCACGCCACCAGAACACGCGCCTGACGAGATACACTACAGTTGAATTAAGGACCCAGTCAATCAGGATGTCGTCTCTTTCGCGTCGAGCATGCTACAAGTGCGGCAACGTTGGACACTATGCCGAAGTATGCTCCAGCGGCGAGCGATTGTGCTACAACTGCAAGCAGCCAGGTAAAGACGCATAAACATGGATCCCTCGAGGACTCGAGAATTTAGGCTCATCGCTGTCACATAGGCCATGAGAGCAACAACTGCCCTCACCCAAGGACAACCGAGAGTGAGTCGCGACCACCACTGAGCCAAAGTAAGAGGAAAGCCGATGCTGATGTCAAATTCAGCAAAGCAGTGTTACCACTGTCAAGGCCTCGGCCATGTCCAATCGGACTGCCCAACCTTGCGCCTTCGATCGAACGGGGCAGGAGCAGGAGCATGCTATTCTTGCGGTCAACCTGGTCATCTTGCAGTATGTGACAGACGTGTCTTCTAGCAATACAGTACTAATCTGCCTTAGCGCGAATGCCCGACTCCAAATGCTGCGCCAGGTGCACCAGCGGCTGGCATCGGCCGCGGAGCTGGCGGTCCAGCTCGTGGAGGTTTTGGCGGTTTCCGAGGTGGCTTGCGAGGTGGGTTCGCTGGTGCCAACCGCTCAGCAATGTGCTACAAGTGTGGCGGACCAAATCACTTCGCTCGCGATTGCCAAGCCCAGGCAATGAAGTGCTATGCTTGCGGCAAGCTTGGACACATTTCTCGGGACTGCACTGCACCGAACGGCGGACCTTTGAACAGCGCTGGCAAGACTTGCTACCGCTGCGGTGAGGCGGGTCACATCTCCCGCGATTGCCAATCCGCCGAGCAAATCAATGGTACTCCTGTTGTCAATGCTGATGGAGCTCCCGAGGCTGTCGTTCAGCCCTCTCTGGAGCCAATTGCTGCGCCAATTGCCCCGTCTTCAATTGTCGCCTAAATAATCCCATGTTCCCATACGCGCGCTCCGACTGGCCACTGGAGTGTGCGAAACATACACGAAAGTAACGTTTCTTCTGGCCAACCTGAATTACACTCTTCTTGACTCTGCGCCTGGCCTCTGACCCTGCATACGCTACCTTATGCATTACAACCGGCATTACGGAGTCGATTTTTCTTTCCTCATCACACCAGCATTGAATTTACTCCGCATCGAGCGTTCGACACGATCTCACGAACAATGACACACGCACACACACCTCCCAAATTCATAACAAAAGTTTTCCTTTACGACCATTCACGACGAATCCCAGCATATACCTTATACCCAGCAGCTGAAAGCGAAATCCTAATGGACAAGCGACGAAGCAACCCCGAAACGAAAGGATGGAAAGAAGACGCCGGTGACGTATAGAAGCCCTTTTTGTCGATGTTGCCAGAAGACATTGTTGAGGCTACGGGCGCCGGTAGTCGCGAATATTAGTGGGCAGTAGGACAAGCAGCGTTCAGATGGGGAAATGGCGGTGGAGCGCGCGAACGGACTCCCGAAGTGAGCGAGTGAAAACAGGCCTGGTGGAAGTAGTAGGTGGTTGTTCATGTCACAGAGCAAGATAGATGGACAATCGATCGATGGTAAACTCTGTACAACGCGGTTTGCTTTGCTTTGCGTTGCCTTTTCTTTCGTCGTACTTGTTCCATACGATGAAGCCTGACATTCGCCCCAAGCACGATTAATTGGGGTCTGATACCTATATGATAAATCAGATCAGATGACAGTAGATTTGACTGGAGGGTGGAAGATGAGGCAATGCTTACTAATACGCGCGCGTGAGAAGCCTCCAGGCCACGCGAGGACGACGCAAACGCGTCTTCCACGCAATTCATACTCATTCGAGCCACCATTCATCCATTCATCCATTTGTGAACAATCTCGAGACACACGTGAGCCCATTCACCATGTCAAAACGCAGTCGGCTTCTCAAAGAGCTGCGACATGACCCAGTGAAAGGTCATAGCATGTTCCATAACCCAGACATTCTCTCGTCTCCCAAGCGCAAAGCCAGCTCACAGAATACGACACAATCCTCGCATTGCGATATGCCTGCGCGAAAACGACGAGCAGTAATGGCTGTGCCGGCGACACTGCTCGATCAATGCACCATTTGCATGGAAGAACAACTCTTCTCGCAAGGCTTCTCACTACTCACCAGTGTGCTCCATGCTGGTCTCGACACAAACGCGCCAGCATGTATACCACCACCGCCGCATCTGGCACTGGCTTCAACTTTGGCTGTACATCCATCAATGACTACGCGAACGGACGATCAGGATAAGCACGCTGCTGCCAATGCTGCGCTGCGCTATCTGCGAGACGTCGTCGCAGTAGTCGGTGTCGAGCATGCGGGCATCCGAGAGGCACTGCAATATGGAACGCCGCCCGCTCTTCGGAGCGACCGATCCAGTCGAGCGAAAACGAGGCGTTCGAATGCGGGTCAAGCCAGCGATGAGGAAGTCGAGTCCGGGAATCTGCGCAGCAAATACATCGAGGGGCAGTCGGTTGCTGAAAATGCTCAAGACTTCTGGGCTGTTGTGGGTTGGGCGTTCAACTGCAGCGTCAGACACAAGGCGAGGTGGGAACGATGGAGCGAGTGGTTGGAGTTGATGTTGGATGTGTTGGAAGAAGACTTGGAAAGATATTCTGCAAGAGGACATAAAAGCCCCGAACTTGCGCACAGTCTGATAGCGCAGTACATGTCGATAGTCGGTGCTGGTAGGAACAACAAGCGACGAGTCATGCGTGCAGTGCTAGCAGATGGTGACGCGAGGAGTATGGCAGAGTTTGGCGAGATATGGAAGAATGAGACGAGGCCAGTAAAGAAGGAGGAACTCCTGGGGAGCAAACGACGGAAGCTCGATCTCGACAACGATGACTATGGCGACTATTTGGATAATGAGTCCGAGGAGGACGAGCAGATCAAAAGTAGAATGTCACGCTCAAGGACAGCTCCCAAGAGCCGACGAAGTCGAACACCGGCCGATTTGAGTGCAGCGAAAGATGAGGACGACGATGATATTGCGTTGGAGACTGCCAGTGAAGGCGATGCCATCGCAGAGTACGGTGGCATGGATTCCATACGCCTGCGACAGAGATTTCTATCGCTGTTTACGAACTTCAGCCTCGTGGCGCCCAATCTGTTCGTTGATACCGATGAGCTATTTGCAATATACACCGAGTTCATCAGACCACTGCCCTTGAGTATTTTTCAGCAATTCGCATTGCCTTTGAGGCGGTATCTGAGCCCCAATCTCCAGGCCTCACTTAACGAGATGCTCTTCCGTCCCCTACTGGGAACGACTTCCGCTGCGGGACTTATCGATCAAGCAGAGTTCGAGAACTCTTTCGCGAGCAGTGCAGCAACGAGCACTTCGGCCACAGACAATGCCAAAGTGAGCTTGTTGACAGAAAGCATGCTCCGAGCGTTATGGACAACCGGCACCTTGACACCCAATCTGTCGCAATTAAAGGTGCTGGTTGAGCAAGGCGTCAAGCTGAGGCACGATAAGGTCGCTGGCAATGGTAGAAGGAAGACGGGGAAGACGGCTGATGCAGAGGACGATGCAAGGCTGGTCTTGGAGCATTCGGGACAGAGAATGATGGTACTACTAAATGTTCTTGCGCAGTAGGTATCATTACTGTCTTTGAGTGGAAATGGATGTAGCAGCCGTTGAATATCTCCAGCTTATGAGCGGTGTGTTTGTACCAAGTGAAGAGTGAAATTAATAAGAGGGAGGTTGTGGAAACATGGAGCTATGGGGCGTCGGTGCATCCCACATGATTCTGCCGACTCTGCCGCCGAGAGTGGGTAAGGCCAGGTAGGTACAGTAGTCACGCTTCACCGTCACTTGTTCTACACACCATCCCACCCTCCTACCTTACCTAACCTATACTGCCGTCATGTCATTCTGTGCCCGTCAGCATCCATCAGCCTCGTGTTCTCTTCATCTTTCATCATCCTTCCTCACTCCGTGAGTGAGTGAACGAGCATTACTACTTCTTCTCAGCTTCAGCATGACTTGGCGCGCAGACCTACGCCTCATCAACCATCACAATGTTCAAACCCTTCGAACTTCTCCGCTGGCGGAACTCTCTGGTGCTCTCGGCGACCTGGGAACGCTTCTTCCTTTGATGATCGCCATGGCCATCAAAGGATCAATCGACCTGGGATCTACACTCGTCTTTTCTGGGCTTGCCAATATTCTCACGGGAGTCTTCTTTGGCATCCCGCTTCCTGTTCAACCTATGAAAGCTATTGCGGCTGTGGCAATTTCTCAAGGATTCAGCAAGGAAGAAACTGCAGCTGCGGGTTTGACGATGGGCGTTGCGGTCTTTTTGCTCAGTGCGACGGGTTTGCTTAAGTGGCTCAATCGGGTCGTGCCAGTGAGTGTTGTCAAAGGCATTCAGGTTGGCGCAGGTTTGAGTCTGGTGATAAGTGCAGGAACGAGCCTGGTGAAGCCTCTGGGATGGGTGTCACCAGCGTGGGACAACCGCGTCTGGGCGATTGCAGCATTTCTGTTCCTGCTGCTGGCGACACTTGTCCCGCGAATCCCCTATGCCCTCGTGGTCTTCTTGATCGGATTGATCATTGCTGCAGCTGTTCCTGGTGTTGATCACGAGAGAAGCTTTTCTGCTGGAATTTGGCATCCCTCTCCGTTCGTGCCATCTGGCGAGGCATGGAAGACAGGTGCCATTGACGCTGCTGTTCCTCAGCTTCCACTTACCACATTGAACAGTATCCTGGCTGTAGCCTCACTGGCAGCAAGTCTATTCCCAACATTTCCTCCTACCCCAAGCACGACATCGATTGGCTTCTCTGTCGCTTTTGCAAACTTGATCGGGTGTTGGTTTGGAGCTATGCCCGTCTGTCATGGATCTGGAGGTTTGGCTGGTCAATATCGATTCGGAGCTCGAAGTGGCTCCAGTATCATCATACTTGGCTCGATCAAGCTTGTTCTTGGCTTGTTCGTTGGTGACGCTATAGTGCCACTGCTACAACGCTTCCCCAACAGCTTACTTGGTATCATGGTACTGGCAGCAGGAGTCGAACTCAGCAAAGTCGGGCAAAGCGTAGGCGAGTCGAAAGACTTGTGGGAGCAGGCTGATGAGGATAATATCGACCAGATGCCTCCCAGGAAATCACGACAGGCGACTGAGCAGGAGAGTAATGACAGATGGGTGGTCATGCTTATTACAGTGGCAGGCTGTTTGGCTTTCAAGAACGATGCGGTAGGCTTCCTCGCCGGTCTCGTCTGGCACTGGGGACTACAGTGTCCTCAGTTGGTCGAGCACGTCTGGCCCAGACGATCATCTGTCAGGCTCAGTAACGCCGAGCAAGAGGATGGCCTGCTCTCATGATCATATCTTGCGGTGCTTACTTTTTTTTAAGCATCCAAGAATGCGAATGGACAGTACATAAATAACCCTCTCATAGTCAATAACAAGTGGAGAGCTGATTTCGATGAATATCACAAGGTGCTGCTCATCGATACACGACCTGTCTGTCCATCGAAATGATTTCCAATGACTAGGAGGTAACGTTTTGAATTTCCTCTTACGTAGGGTACGCTTGTTTCACAATGATGTCTACCTTACATGTAGATAGGCTGCAAAGGGGTGGATACGGTCACACTGTGTACGCCTTCCCCCTCAACCAACCAACCAAACTCCAACTTCATATTTGTTTTATTTTGTTGTCAGATCTCAGCCCATCGCATGCATCGCGAAGGTAGCGAGTCTCCGAGAGTACATACCAGGTATATTTTGGCTTTGGAAACAGAAAAGATGAGAAGAAGATAATGATGAAGATAATGAAGATAATGAAGATGATGAAGATGATGAAGATGGGACAGAGAGATTCTCAAATTTGCAGTCCCGTCCCAGTAGGTAGGGCTCCATCGAGAGCGCAATTTTTTTTGATGAAACTTTATCTTTATTGAAATTGTTGAAACATCTCACGTACATGATATGATATACCTGTCAAAGTAGATGGTAAAAAAATCCGGTCAGGTATCAGAACATTGGAACTCATTTCCAAGAAGTTTTCCAAGTCATTTTGCCTCGGCGGAAAGGTATGACTTCGACGGAACCATCTGCAGTCTTGAGGCTTTCAGCGATAGTTTGTGAATTTCTGCCTAGGACGATTCGTTCGTTCTTTTCGTCTTTGACTTTGTAGAATTGCCGGCCGAATGAGCTGAGGAAGCCCTCTAGTTTCTCCGGAGTCACGTCGTCGGCGGTGATGTACTTCTTCTCGACTCCTCGCTCAAAGGCATCAATCACGAGACCGACGGCGTGAGGTTGTGTGAAGACTCCAGCGGCAACTTTGTCATTACGCTTAGACTTGACGGGGTGGGGTGCTGAATCTGTGCCGAGGAAGAACTTGGAGTTGCCACTGACAGCGGCTTCGAGGAGTGCTCGTCGATCCGAAGGGTTCTTGGCTACTGGCTTGCAGAAGCAATGCGGGTCACCAGCCCAGTCGTCTACAGTCAGGAACAGGTGATGAGCGGTGATTGTGCCTGCTACCTTGTCGCTACAGGAGTTGACGGCTTTGATTGCTGCGGCTGTAGTGCAGTGCTCGAGGATGATTCGAAGGTTGGGAAATCGCTTGTGCAGGTCGAGCAAAGTCGGTAAGAATGCCTCTTCGGCATTCAACACGGTGATGTCGGCACCGGCTGAGGGCGGAAGCTCGCCGTGGAGGTTGAGCACGATATCTTGACGCTCCATTTCTTCGAAGACTGGGTAGAAGTCCTCATACGACATGACACCATGACTGGAGTTGGTGGTGACCCCGTGTGGATAGGACTTGATGCCCATGATGCCCTTGTTCTTGGCCTCAATCACCGTCTCGGGCCTGATGTTAGGATGCAGGTACAGCGACATGAGGAAGAGAACATTGGGCTCTAGTTCTTGAAGGCGCCGTTTATATTGTAGAGCGTGGTGGACTGTCGTGATGGGAGGCACCAAGTTGGGCTGTAGAGGAGTCTCTCAGGATCATAACAATAGAGGAATAGACATGTAGCGTGGGTCAACTCACCATCACGAAGACAGTGTTGACGCCGCCTTGGCGGATCGTGGGTCTGTCATGGTGGGGTCAGAGGAGAGTGGTGGTGGTGGTGGTGGTGAGGGAAGAGGAGAGCAGGCTGTTGGGAACATACACCACCAACTCGGTCATATCGCCCTCACGCAAGTGCACATGCATGTCTGCTGCAGCCGGCAGCTCCATGCCATCGAGCTTCTTGAGAGCTCCTTCTGCAGCCATGGCGGCGGCGGCGGTGGTGGTAGCGGCGGTGGGAGAGGAGGGGGGAGGGGGGGCGGTGTTGACGGCGGAGGACTTGACTACCTCCCTTGCCTGCCCTTCGCACCTCCAACGGAGCCAAGACGTAATAGAATACAACACAACACTCGAGCTGGCGATATTTCCTCTGCTCGACCTGCTGCTGCTGCTGGGCTAGTGATAAATACCTCCGGGAGCCGGCAGAACTCTTCGGGAGCGGGCCGTCTCCCGCTACTCGCGAGTTTCTATTCTACTGGCTACATTTACGCGCCGTCACCAGAATCCTTCAGCCTTCCTCCAACAATCCTTCCTCCAGACGCGACTCCATCATGCCTCCGTCTTCCTTCGCCATCATGCAATGTCCCCAGGGGCTCCCTTTCGCGACTCCAAGCCAGATCTCGACTCGGTCGGCTACAACTACGCAGATGACCCAACATGGCAGAGGAAACCCTTGACGCCTGCTCAGATCCTCGTCCACGATGTGAAGCTGGAGAGACTGCGGGCGGACCGCGGTCCCATGCTCGAGTGCAATGAACGCTTTGCCCATACTTTGGTTCCCAAAACTGCAGCTTGCACACCGCCTGCAAGCCTGCTCAGAATTGGCAATGTGACCAGTAATCCCATCGAGAAGCAGAAGTTCACGGATCTGGAGGAAGACTTCGGCTGGATAAGATACCTGCGGTCCCCCCAATTCCAGGCTAACGACGAGGACGCTGTCAAATGTCGATGGATCCATTGTAGCAGCAAGTTCCCTGAGTACCTCAAGGGATTTCTGTGGGCTTTGTCTGACGATGTTGCCACTGTGGCCGATGCCATGCGTATGCTTGACAGCGCCATGGAGCGACAAACTCGATTCTCGAAGCACGGAAAGTACTTTCAGCCGTTTTCCCAAGTTCTCAGATCTGCTCCAGTTACTGCAAACGACAGTATATATCCAATGCTCATTTCTCTGCCGTTCCTGGACTGGGGGCTGAGAGGTTCCAATCCTCCCCTGCGTTTCCAGGTTGACAAGCGCGAGGGCTTCCTTTCCTCGAGGTCATCCGCGCATGTCATGCGTTCCATACTGCAATACTATTATCGACTGGAGGATACACAGGATCGGGAAGATTCGCAGGTGTTTTCCCGACACACTCCCTGGCGCACGAATCGCGAATTAGATCTCAAAGTCCGTCAGTGGTACGGGCAGTATCCCACGACACTCAATGTGGACGAAATATGGATTCTAGCTATCGACGCAGAGCACATTGTGACCTTCTCAAGCAACCAGACGTGGAAGTCTCGATGGCCGCCGTTCCAGCTCACATCCCGCATCGCAGACGTGTCCTTTCGAGGCATTCGCAATCACTACTTTCGCTCCGACGAAAAGCGGGAGTACACTGCCATGACCCATGCCATTGCATGCTTGAGCGGTGCACTCGGCATGCTGCACCGAAGCTTTTGGTCAGATCTGTACCTTTGTCTCGCTGATCGATATGCCGGACATCTGGGACATCTGCAGTACCGACTACACCGAGCGCCCTCTACTAAGCTTGTCATGGACCTGATCTCCTGTCAAGAGGAGCTCAATATCGTCATTCACATCACGGAACAACAGCTGGACGCCATTGGTGACTTACAAATGGCCCTAGATGCGTTCCATGCGAAAAGCGACACCAAACGACCGCCATCTACAAGAACATCTGTCCGCGGAGTTAATCATCCTGACGAGCAAGAGCTACCGAAGGAACTCGTGTCTCGGCGTTCCACATATCGGCAGCTATCGGCATCAGTCTTGTCCGATCCCATGGCCCAATTGATCGACAATCTCGAGCGAGAACTGGTAGATCTACGCGACCTGCGTGACAATACCGACCGCTTGGTGACACGCACGATCCAGCTTGTCAATATCCGCCTGGAAGATCATGGCAAAGCTATTCTGGTGTTTACGGTGGTCACTATCATCTTCCTCCCCTTGAACTTCGTTAGCTCCTTCTTCGGAATGAATTTTCGTGACATCAGAGATATGGAAACGACACAGTGGCTTTTCTGGGCTGTCGCTATAGCAGTAACTGTTAGTGTTGTGGCATCATCAGTGTTCCTGGCTTTCAGCGGTAGCCTACTACTCGAGAAGCTGCACATGTGGCGAGATGCCAGACGAGATACCCGAATGTTCACGACTTCTTCCTTGAGACAGGGAACGGACACTCATATTCGTTCTGGATTTCGCGTTCATGGCACCGACAAGGATGCTTATGGGGGTTCTTCTATGCAGGCTGGATGATTGCATCTAGTGCCCACCAATGATGAATGAGATGAGAGTTCTACGCACTTTGGAATTGTATGCAACATCAGTGCATAAGTCTATATATCTAGAGCCCTAAGCTCCTCCAACAAAGATACTCAGCAGGCGAGGATTGCCATCTGACAGGGTGCCACTCTGATCAACACCGCCAGTCGGATTGACATCATCGTAGCTGAAAGCATATCCTCTGCCATCCGGTTGGTTTCGGTGAACAATCTGCGAGTACCAGTTGTGTTGCGCATTCTGATAGTATGTGGGAGCAGCTGGTCCGGGCTGTAAAGGGCTTTTCAGCATGGTTCCGCGGTTAAATGCTGCGCAGAGCCTGGGGACGACCGCTCGATGAACAGCGTTATCGGAGGCCTGAATGGCGAATGGTCCAGTGTTACAGCCCCAGATATCCTCCGTCGACGGCCTGGCGTACGCGCGGTTGTCCCCGTCACAGAAAAGGGAGTCACCATTGACACGACAGTTCACTCTGCCAGCTCCGGATTGCGTATCGATTGTTAAGGTTCTGGTAGCGTATCTTGCCCAGACACGATCAACATGACCTGCCATGAAGTTATTCAGCCAATCGGGGTTCGACTGCGAGAAGGGGTAAGGAGCCACCACTCGGAGGAAGCCACTGCTACCACTCTGACAAAGGTTGCTCCAAGCTTTCCCGTCCTTTTGCTGTCGGCTTGCCAGCGCGGAGCAGACAGCAGTCACTCCGCCAGGTCGAAGTCCCATGACTGTTTGTGTTTCCCCCGACCCTGGAGTCATGGACATGCCAAGAGCCAATCCCACAAAATCAACATAACTCAGATTTGCATACAGTCCACCAGCATTGTTCGTGAATTCTACAAATCCCCAGTCGACTCCTGCCGACGGATCTCTGGGATTGGCAAATGAAGGCTGGACCTGCGCCGGAGCGTTTGTGGCAGAGTTCCAGATGGTATAGAAATGTAGATCGCCTTTGGCAAACCATATCCTGCCCGACGAGACATAGTCGGGCAGCGTAATTGGCGTAGTACTGCCTTGTGCGGTTTTCAGTGGGATGGCCAGATTGCCGTTGGAAACCTCTCGAGGACTGGTGAATGAATCATCGGCAGGGGGATAAAAGAACTGGCCTGCAGTAAGGGACATCAGCTAATGTTGGCAGTACTCAAATCGTGGTTGTTGATAGCTCACCATTGGGCTGAACAAAGACGACACGTCCACTGGGATCCAACCCGGTAATGTACGCATTGACGGGGCCTCCTATGTTGTTGACGAGATTGAGTGGTAGTTGTCGAGTGGCCTGCAAGCTTAATCTATTGGTCTTGACTGTGGTATTTGCCGGAATCGGTGACGGATTTGTAGCATTGAGGGTGTTCGCTGCCGTAATGACCAGATCCTCCACGCCTCCTGGCATCACCGGGACAGTATCGATCGCATCCCTCACTGCCACAGACACAGCAGGGGCCGCAACGACCTGTCCAATAAGACATCCTGCAGCCAGCACAAGTCCCCTCCAAGATGTACGCATACTTGCTGCCAGGTCTCTCTCTCGCAATGTGATAAGATATCGAGCTATCGAAAGGCCGCGAGGTTGCGAAATTTAGAAAAGAAAAGCAGTAAAGACAGGTAGAATGTATGCTCTGAAAGGAGTGACAAGAGGCAATACTTTGGCGAGAAAGAATAAAAGAATGTCAGAGCAGCGCTCAAGATGGTTGTATCGGCCCAAACTGGGAAAGCAGACGACAGCTCTGTATCTATTATATATACCTATACATTTTCCCTTCAGTAGCCCATACTGACTATCTAACTCGGCCTCGGCCGTACGTATCCCGCTCTCGGCTCCTGCAACCGACATTCTAGCAGAAGAGAGAAAGAAAGAAAGAGAGAAAAAAAAAAACACGGCTCCAAAAAAGCCATAGTAAATATCTAATATCCCCCAACAACGAACGAAAAGCCTCCAAAGCATCTCAACAGCAAAAAATGTGGCGCTCGCCAAAAGAGCCCAGGGCTCGAAAGTCCGACGATCTTTTTCTCCTGACGTGCCCCCCCCC